GAGAGAGAGAGAGAGAGAGAGAGAGAGAGAGAGCTGGAGGGAGGAGTGGGGAGAAAAGCTGGCTTTAAATTTTAATTGGTTTGCAATGAAAGATTTAACTGTTTAAAAAACACAACGGTCTCAGTCCCAGACCACAGCTTATGTGCTGATGTGGGAGGTTGGGGCATAGTGAAGAAAGAAGTGAAGAGAGGCTGCTTCCTAATGGATCCCATGGGCAGTTGAGCCTTTGGGTTACTCAAGTAGGATTCAGGTCCAACTCTTTGTTTATCCCATGCATTCAGTGGGAAAGTTCATCCTTGCCCTCCTTATTGGAAAGATAATCCCGTAAACAAAATAGATGGTTAGAGAATAGAATGCCTTGGCTGAGAGTTGGCAGTTGCTTAGCTTTAAAACCCAGCTATTGAGGGCTCTGCTGTAAGTGCCAGGAAGACAGTAACGTGGAGATGCCCGGAGGCTCAGCCGTCACTTAGGAAGGGTGGCAGTCACTAGTCAGTCTGGCCTCTCACATATGTGACAGGCCTGGGTGAGGCTGGCACTGGGTCTGCCTTGGCCCTTGTGGCTCTCCCAGGTTCAGCACGGTACCTAATATTGAATGGAACTTAGGAAATACTGGTCAAATTTTCCATGAGCATTTTCAGGAAAACTATAGCTCATACGTTTCCACCGTCCTGAGGCATCTGTACGTTGTCACTTGAGTGTAACACTGAACTTGAGCAGTGGATTGGGCCTGAGCCCTGTGCACTGTGATCTCCAAAGCTGTCCACCCTGCCGTTGCTGCCCTAGCGGCAGCGCTCTCCTGGGGAATAAGAAATGTGTCTGCTTAGAGTTCACCTGTGATTCCGGAAGAGGCCTGGGAGCATAGAAATACAGTCAGTATTTGTTGGATGCCCGAATGAACGTTACACTTTGTCTTTTCTTTCATCCTGATTATCGAGTTCAAGATTAGAGGCAGGGGTTACAACATGAACGACCCCTGCCGATCCACCGGAAGCGGGGCTGAGCTGAGCTGCATGTAGTGTCTCTGTTCTCATTCCATTGTGGCCGAGGTCATGTGATGGTGCTAGTGGCAAGGGCGATGCTGACTGGAGCAACCACCGTGGCTGTCGTGTGCCCCGTTTAACTCCGTGTGCATCACCTTGACTCCTGCTAGCTAGTCTAATATTATAGTCTCCATTTTGTAGAAAGAAGACCAGAAATTGTCTTAGCTTGGTGCAGTATAAAGGAGTGGTACAGACCAGGTGCCTTGTGTGTGGGGGTGGGGGGAGAATATGCATGTGTGTACACACACACACTGTGCATGTGGGAGCTGGTGGTTGGCACTGGGTGTCTGTATCATTCTCGACATCATCATCATCATCATCATCATCATCATTATTTTACCTTACTTACCTTAGAGCTCACTGATTCAGCAAGACTACCTGGCCACCAAGCGACGGACTCACCCTCTCTCTACTCTCTCAGTACTGAGGCTGTAGGCATACACAACTCTGCCTGGATTTTTATGTGGTTGCCAGCTATCCGAACTCAGGTTCTCATGCTTCTGTGTCAAGTGCTTACCTGTGTCATCTCTTCAGGCCCTCAGTTATGTACAGTCTACGAGTATGTGCTTCCTACCCTTCTGAACGCTGTGGCAAGATCATGGGGTGTACCGCACAGCCCGGTCTGGTAAAGGACTCCTCGTGGCTTTTAGACCAGCCTGTTGTCCCACCATCTCCATAAGGTCTCTGGGCCCTTCTTAGGAGGCCCTGAAGACATCATGAGTGCTCTAGCCTCCTAACCTCATCTAATCACCAGAGGCCTCGCCCCTAAGTTTCATTCCATCAGACATCAGGGTTTCCGCCGTCTGATTTCTGTTGGGAACGCAAGCATTCGGTCCCTAGCTGAGGGGGAACCCATATGGCCAAGGCTACCTAGTGAAGCTGGCGTTAGGGTAGTATTTGACTCAGATCTATTTAACTGCCCCCACAGCCCCTCTCTTACCCGGTCCCCTGCTGGGGAGTATCAGACCAAGCACTGAGGGAGGCCCAGGGGGCCCATAAAAGCAGCCAAAGAGAACCAAATTATAGGGAGTCTATTATGGTTGATCTTAAAAGCCTCATAATGGCCTTATTTTCTCTGAGACTTTGAAAGCCAGTGATTTACCATGGCTCCCTGCACGGAGAGATGTCCAGCCAGCCAGTCCTCCCCTACCTGTGTCCTAGGCCCCCCGATCCTGACCAAGCAGAGATGCAGGAAAGGGTGGTCCCTGTTCCCTTTACTTCTCTGAGACATAAGAATATAAGTCTTTGGGGTTTTGCTTTTTTTTCCAGGTGGGGTCATGGGCTTCTAGCCAAAAATCCTTTCAATTAATGGTCTGGGAACAGCACCCATGAAGAAAATTAGAAGCAGATAAGGAAGGAGGGCCAGTGCGCTCAGCAGGCGCGTGGGGAATCGTTCTTGGATTGTGTTGCTGACTTCCCAGTGTTTTCCTAAC